GTTTTGATGAAAAATTAACATCAACCTTCATCAAATCATCCCACCATAAACTGAGACCACCAGCCTTGCCAATAGGAGATACATTGAACCCACCAGAAAATCCCATTCTTCTACGTACCCCGTCAATTCTATGATCCTTCATCTTAGTTTCCGAAAGAAAGATCATAGAGGGTTTGTATTTTCTAATAGGCCCATGTAGGGGCCGAACTACTGTGTCTGACCCATGAACACGACAATTCCAAAATAAGTGTGTCATGACGATCGTGCAACTGTTTCATGCTAGCCGCCACTTCCTTAGGAGCTCGTCCCCTTTCTTCTCGCCATGAGTTTAGACCTCTCTACCTCCGAAACCTCCTCCATATACTCCCACATCTCCTGGTATTCTTCTAGGATCTCCAACAGTTCCTCTTTCCATCATCAGACACCTCTCCATGATGCTCATACTCCTCAGCCTAACTGCCACCCTTTTCTTCCCCTCTTCTCTGCTCTAGATATTTTTACTTCTCTTTTGAGGCAATTGACTGATTTCCATGTCGCATAGCTCAACCCCACGCTTCGATAGACTACCTTCAGTCACCCCACATATATTGAGCACATTTCCCCTATTCTGGGCATCCTCCTCCCTAATCCCTTTTATAACAACCGAAGGCGTGTCTCCATGTTTCGGTTGAATAGCTTTAGAATTCGTTTGTAGGAAGCAATCGGGACGACGACCCAAAGTTACATGCCGAGTCAAATAATGGTGGCCCTAAAAAATTATCCAATGAGGGGTGGCAAACTCGAAAGTTTCCCCATGTTTGTTAATCCTATATTTTCTCTTCCATTATCTCTTAGGTAGTTGTGTCATCTCAGGATACCCCTTCTCTACCTAGCTGTTTCCTCCCTCGTAACTGTTCCCCTAAAATTCAGTTCCAGTATAGCTCTGGTTGGCTATCCTCTTGCCTATATAGCAGAAATCCTGCAGTCGCTCATATCAAAACTCCACCTAGGTGTCCTTATTATCCTCCCTCGACAGCCATCAACTAGTGGTTAAAGGGTTAAGGGTGTTAACAATTACCCTTACTCTTAAGAATCCAAGAGCTTTAGCTGGGTTCTCGAGCTCAATGAACTCACCTATTTCCTTCGAAAGGAGTCAAATATTGGCTTCCGACGTGAGGCAAGGTGGTACCCCCTGTATCTGTACCCAGAAATAGACCATGTTCAGCTCTATTTCATCCAGGGTCAGTTCTTTAGGTCACATTTTTACTGAAAAGTTTTGTTTCATTACTGCCCAAGGTAATTGGCAAAGAATCTTTGCCACTGTACTTTCGTCATGAACTGTTATGATGAACGTTTTGTCCTCTACCCATTTGATCTGAACTTCCCCAAACTCTTTCTATGAGGACCTTAGAATGTTTCGAACGTCTCACTTGTTCAGATTTTTGTTGACCAGTGCCGCTTCAACCAACTCTACCCCATGTTCCATGGTCGACAGATCCATGAACTTATCAAGGTGAACCACCAAGTCTTCAACTACCTGCTCTGCCATATGTTCCTCTCTGTACCTAGTGCTATGGACCACTTGAACAGATGTATGAAGTAGATAGATTGTAGAGGCCTTACCCAGTTTGTCTCTGGACGTACTGGCATATTTTTCCTTCTTAACTTCTTTCCAGTTTGTTTGATTACTAAATAGCAAAAATACCCATAAAATCGATGTTGGGAAGTACCTTATTTCTTTACTCAAAATCATCTTGGTGCTTTATTGTTAGGTTTTGGGTTGGTTGAAACTTTCCCAACTGCAATAAATGCTGGGGTTGGCAGACGTCATTTACCTCCCCCCATCTGTCGGATTTGCAAGATCAGGGACCTACCCGCACATACTTCTGATGGGATCGAAGGTTGATTTGGCCTTAATTCTTCCTCACCGATTGCACCTGTACTCTGATAGGATCAAAGGTAGTTGTGGGTTTATTGCCTCCTCACTGACTGTAATTAATTGTCATACCCACTTCCTCTTAGCTAGGTCGATTAATTTTCAGAAAGAGCAATTACTGACCAGACCCACTCCTTTTAGCTGGATAAACTCACTATAGATTATCAATCTACCCACTTGGAGAGCCAATCAAGGGTGATAGGGTGAAAAGAGTAGCAAAGGGAGTAAATGCGGGGTATGGAGCACCAAATCACCAACTTCACTTTTAGTCTCACAAAAGAGAAAAGGAAACACTCACAAAGGAGGCTTTCACGGAGGAAAGAAGTGGCTCTCACAGCGGAGAGAAGTTTAAGATTTTTGAGAATCTTTTATAAAGACTTTAAAGCACAATTGTACGAGCAGTACCTATGATCCTCAGTCTGAGGGAAAGGGATCCTCTTTGGATCCCTTCCACCAAATTCACCCAATCAATCAATCCGGGTCCTTGAAATTTGATGCAACGGCTACAAACAGGGGGCTCCTTTAAAAGTTATAATAACTTTAGCCGTTGGATCAAATTTCAAGGGCCCGGATTAGGTGATTGGGTGGATTTGGTGGAAGGGATCTGGAGAGGATCCCTTTCCCAGTTTGAGGGCCAAACATGGTCGTCAATTGTACTTTTGGAGTATAGTTTGAGGGCCAAACATGGTCGTCAATTGTACTTTTGGAGTATTACCTACCGTGTTTTGTTGGAGACAAAACTTCTTGGTTATATCTCGTATATTTTGGGATGATTGGTGGCAATATGTATGTTTCCACTAAGATGTATCATCGTTTCAATAATGAGCTAGCACCAATATAATATAGTCTGTTTCATATCTTAAGCCAAGGTTGGATAAGTGGCATGCATATTGATTCTACATCCTCGGATAATACTATGAGACTAAATTTATAGATAAAATTTGCAAACTAAATGATTTGTCACCAATAAGAATGAGCACGTTTATCAACGTTTAAGTATTAACTCAATCATCAACTAACATGTCATTTAGCTTATAAAATTTTGTCTACAAATTCAGTCCCCTAGCATTAACCCCTCCATCCTCTAATGAAATCTACCATTTTCACCATTAAAAAATGAACGAAATACCACTTAAGCAGCCATTAAAACTGTTCAAAATGAATGCCATAGAAGTATTTCCTACAATTTGAACACTAATAGTGATAGTTTACAACATTTCTCGTATTTACTAGTTTTATGTAAATTGTCATCTGTCATGACATAGTTACTCTAACTAATAGTTAAGCTATTTGACTGAGATGAATAAATAGGATAAGAAATGACTGGGTTAACTTTTCTTTTTCCTAGTATTCGTATTGTAACCTTAACATTTTTTCGGTTATCGGTTTTTATGTCCACCCTTATTTTGATTTGTCAAAAAGTATATAGTTTCTGAATGTACTTTTTTTTTTTTTTTTGACAAAATTCAGTGCCAATTTTTTATGGCGGGAGTTTACCTCTAACCTCTAAGTATTACAAATGGGGTTTTTATCACAAATGATCTCTGAAATTGACCCTCACCATCAAGATGGTCCCTGAAATTAAAAATCAATCAATGTAGTCCTTGAAAATAGGGGTTGCAAATCAATGTGGTCATTTTGTCCCAATTCTGTTAAAAGATATGTTAAGTGCTGATGTGGCATATAAATGGGCTCCATAAGTTCTTTTTTTCTCACAAATGGTTGTTGAATTTGACTCACGACATCAAAATGGTCCCTAAAATTGACCCATGACATCAAAATGGTCACTGAAATTGAAAATTGATCAATGTAGTCCTGCAAGTAAGCATCTCAAATCAATGTAGTCCTTCCGTCATAATTCTGTCAAAAATTCTATTACGTGCTGATGTGACACATAAATGGGTCACACAAGTCTAATTAAATTAAAAAAAAATTACAAATAGGCTTAATAATTTAATAGTTAATAAAAAATTTGTCAAAACCCCAGTCCTGCAATCACCTTTGATCCTAGTCCACATTTCTATACCTCATTCGCTCTATTCTCTAAAATAAAAATAAAAATAAATAAAAATCTCAATACACCCATCTTTACACACTTTGACGCCCTTCCTTAATTGAACTTGGATTGAGATCACCTTTGGTGACGGCTTGGCCCATTAGCAACGACTTTTAGGACATCACCTTTAACATTTAGGTGATCAACATCCTCACAACCTTAATTTGGGAGAGCTTGTTCGACGCTTCCTTGGTGGTCTGGTGATGCAAAGAACGACGAGATCTGACTTGAGATAATGAGATTATAACCGACGTGCGTCCATTGTAGGTTGAAAATTATTTCCACACCCCCTCTTAGGTCTTGGTTAAGCCTTATGCCTTCGAGAATTTATGGGAGGGATCTCTCTTCGGAGTAGGCCCTACTATAAGAAAAAACAATTTCATTGTGCAAAAAGCTATTTAGATAAATTTTTTAATTAATTATTAAACCCACATCAGCACATAACAAATTTTTTTACAAAAATTGTGGCAGAAGGATCATATTGATTTGCAACACCTACTTACATTGGTTGATTTTCAATTTCAGAGACCATATTGATGGTGTGGGTCAATTTCAGGGACTATTTTGATGGTGTGGGTCAATTTTAGGGACCATTTGTGATAAAAACCCATAAATCTTGTGGGGCCCCCATTTATGTGCCACATCACACTTAACATAATTGTAATGGAATGGCCGATTTGCGACACCTATTTTCAGGGACTACATTAATTGATTTTTAATTTCTAGACCATCTTAATGGTAAGGGTCAATTTCATGAACCGTTTATGATAAAAACCTTTAAAATGATGCTTCTATTATCTGAAGGAGGCAAGTCAACCTAATTACAAATGTTGTTTCTATTTTTCTGAAGGGTAATGCCATGGAGACTAAATTTGTAAACAAAATTTACAAATTAAATAAATTGTCACCAATAAGAATGAGCACATGTATTGACGTTTAAGTAATAACTCAATCATTAATTTTCATGTCATTCAATTTGCATTACGCTTTTGTGAATCATAATTTGTGTTAGTCACAGAGAAAGAGATATAACATCAACTTTTTTTTCGTATATGATTGTACCAATGGTAAATACATCTAACAAGAAAAAGTTTCATAACCGAACCAAACAACAATTTCATAATAAATGGAAAAATATATATGGTAAAAGATGTAAATGAAACCATCATCTCGACGAGGGAGTAGTATATTGAGCATAGCTAGACCATTGCTGCATTGGAAAATCAGTAGTACTAGTACTGTTGTCACTTACGGATGGTCCGACGGGAAGCCATGACCGAGCCCCAAAGAGTGAAGACAACGGAGGCGGTGATAACGAAGAAGAAGAGGAAGACGAAGAAGCAGCAGCCTCAGCAACAGCAGAGGATGATAGAACCATCTGATCATAAAGGCTCATAGGTTGCCTCTGCATATCAACCAACTCAGAATAGCTAACAAGATTTCTTGAGGTTGAAGGCACCTCGTCCGACGAATGGAATGCTTGAGAGTGAACAATCGGCTCACAGGATGTGGCAACGGACAAAAGGGTATTTTGAGGAGCAGAATTGCTCAACTGGGTCGGCGGAGGAACGGCGGTTGACGACAGGAGTCTGACGTTTTCAGGGAAGTTGAGTTTGGCCTTGTTGCCTCTGAATCGGAGGGCAGCTTGATCGTAGGCTTGGGCGGCGGCTTCGGCTGTTTCAAAGGTGCCTAACCACACCCTGGCAGCCTTGAAGGGGTCTCTAATCTCAGCTGCCCATTTTCCCCACGGTCTTTGTCTCACTCCTCTGTATCTTCTCCTTATTGGCTCTGCTATTTCGGGCGCACTGTATACATATCTACTGCTTGGAGTTGGAGATGGAGTTGGAGGGATTGCTGTTGTGGTTGTCCTGGTGCTTAAGCCTTCTGCGGATATTGGTCAAGAGAAAAAGTCAGTTTTTAACTAAATTGGTCTGTCCCAACGCCACGCATTTTGCGTGAAGGAGAGAGCTTACAGAAACTGCATGCCTTTTGTAATTTTTTTTTTTTTTTTTAAATAAGTAGAAAAGAACAGATAAGTATAAAGAAACAACAAAATCACAATTATTCACATATTGGTTAAACAAATAAGTGTTTAAACAAATTAAACATTAACTAAACTATGATATTAGTCTCATTCTTTAATTGACCTGTTCTGCCACTCTACGTGCAGAAGAGAGCTTCTGAAAAATTTCCGCGTTTTGTAATTTTATTTATCTTTGAAGATAAGTGGACAGGAACAAGCAAACAAAACCGATAGAAACAACGAATCATAGTTGTTCTTATTTTGGAGTCTTTAAGTAACTTCATGTGTAAGGAATTAGAAGCGTGCACGACTTTCGTACAATTAGACTTTCGTACAATTAGAACACCTTAGAAGGAGATTTTCTTTTGCTTTAATCGCAAGTCACTCTATCGTGTTAAATGTAAAAAAGAAATTACCTCCAAAAGCGGAGGATGGCCCCTGAATGTGCTGTGGAAATTCATCGAAAGCTCTACAAAGCCTTGTAACCGACTCGGACAATGGACCGCCGCCGCCGCCTTCTTCCTCTTCCTCTTCTTCTCTTCCTCTTTTAGTTCCAACACTGCCCCATGAACTAGTCCTTGAATCAGAATTAACACCTGCAGCAGCCACCTCATTTTCATCTCCGGCCACCACATGCGTCAAGGCCGATACCATCGCCGACATCTCTCTCTCCCAATCCAACTGCAACAGCATTGACGATGCGGCCGACGCTAATATCCCACTTTCACCACCGCCAGCCCGCTGTCGTTGCTGATGTGAAATAAGCAGGGGTTCATTGAGCCATTCTCCAATGTTATGATGTCCTCCTTGTCCCTCCTCAATGTTGGTGCGCCTTGCGGCACGTTGGTCGTTATTACCTCTTGAATTCGCCACCTTTAATACACACATATAGAAATAGATATGATTGATGAGATAATATTTGTTGATATATCTATCTGTATCTACCCAACAAAACTATAAGCACACACAACACAACATACAAAACCAAGTTTACTACTGTTTACGTGCAAATTCTCTCTCGTCAAGAAAACCAACACGCCCCGCCCCCAGACACGCAGACCTGTTACTTATAGCTTTGAACCGTCATCTAAATATAATATATTATATATATGCAATTTATAGATGGGACAAGCAGATCGATTTATATAAACGCTGTCATGGGAATCATGTCGGTTAATTCAAAGTAAAATTAATAAAAAAAGTTTAAAAATTTTGAGTTTTAATTTTTTAGGGTAAAAATATGATTTGTTGTTAAAGTAAACAGTACCAGGAGTTTTTCATTAAAATTCTCTTAATTCAATTGGTCAATCTTCATGCAGAAGGAACCCATGATTTAAAAATATTGAATGTTAAAAATGGATTTTTATAAAAAAAAAATGTTAAAAATGGATAAATATATACAGGAAGGAATTTTATCGAGTCAAAAGAGGCAGTATGAACTTAGAACACAAAGTGTGAACATACAGATGCCAACAAATATATTTGTGACAGGCTGGCTTATAGGATTTCTTTTTTTTGTGGGCGTGGGGTGGGTGGTGGGGCGGGTTGGTTGTGGCGGTGTTTGGGGTCAGAGGGAATCAATCAACCAACATGATGGCTTCGAGTGGAGTCCGATCAGTCGACATGAACTATTAACTTGGTTTGTTGCGAAATGGATTAATCTCTTACTACCAACAACCTAGTGAAAATGAAACCAGTTTCCTTAACTTTGAAAGTCAAAGGGCTCAAGTTTGTACATCCCGGTTATTCAATTAGAGAAAAATATAACTTTAAGCGAAGAATTGATTTGGGATTGTGATGCTTTTATAAAATAAAATAAAAACAGCTTATTAAAATGAGAATTGTTATTAGCACTCCAAAAATCTTATTTTACACTCCTCATATGTGTATTTTTTTCTTTCTAATTATGGAAAGTTTGGAGTGCCAAATGAGATTTTTGGAGTGCTAATAACAATTCCTATTAAAAATTGTGGAACATTAAATATGTTTGGCAAAATAAAAAAGAAAAGTCTTTTTAAAAAACTGCACTTAGTAGAATAGTATAGAAAAACAGAAGTAAAGGCTATTATGCTTCTAAAAAAATGTTTTTTTTTATTTCAAAGCATAGTAATCATGTCTGTTTAATGAAATTTTCAAATAGCAAATGTATCCCCACACATTTTACAAAATTACAATCATTGGTCCTATATTATTCTCTTTGATAATTATCATATTATATTAAATACTATATCATATTTAGTCATTTAACATATTTACAGTAATTTATATATAAGTTTACTAAACATTTGGATACTATTTTTTTGTTAAAAGCACTATTACAAAAAAAAATTTATCAAACACTCAACAACTTTATTGTACAGCTGTTTATTTTCATATCACAGCAGAAGCAGTTTCTTATAAAACACATCAATACTAAACTAGAATGTAATATACTGACTTGTGTTCAGTTAATGTGTTGTATATATTAGGAGTATTTACAGTTCTTTTTTATCACATTTGAAATCATTAATTAGATTCTCCATTTTTTTGTGTTCCATGTCGACAACGTCTTTGATGGAAGGGCAATTTACAAATTGGTTGCACATGACAATGACGGTGTTGCCTAGTTCCAAAGATTATATGTATATCAAGTCAACTGACTTGAGCATGAGCAAATACCAATCATCTTAAAGTTTGCGTCTTTTGATGGTCCACCTTGTTTGTTATTGTTGTTCTGAGCGACGCAATTGGTTTACGCGTTTACTTTTTAAATGAATGAATGGATATACTACAGTAGTCACCGCTAACTCGATCGGTCCACAGTTTTACATGTTCAATTCAAAAGAGCAAGTGGGGAAGGAGGTTGCTGCGTCGAAGGAAGGGAGTTCTCATGAGTTTGCCTTTGATTATTTTTCGAAGTTTCAATGTAAAATTAATTAGTAGTATAGGGTAATTTAATTATTTATAAATATATGTAAAGTTTTTTTTTTCGATATGAAATTTATATTTTCAATTTTTTTTTTTTTACATGTGATTAACTTTTAAACTTAGCACGTGAACAACATAAAATCGGACAACGTAGATCACGTGTGGTTATCGAGCTTCACACAATGGAACAACATGCTTTAATACTAACAAGAAAGTTGGGGAAATCCAATTGGTATGAGAAATAGCCGAATTATTTATAGGTAATGCTAGAGAGACCTAAAATTTTAAACCAAATAATGTGTCACTAATAGAAAATAAGTACGTTAATCAATACTTAAGTGATAATCCAATTTTCAACAACAACATCAATTGGTTTACAAAATTTGATCTCCCTATCATTAAACTTATTTATAACCATATGCAAAGTCTCTCTTTTCTCTAATATGAGATTCATAATCTCAACAAAGGGTGGTTGGGGAATGGTGACGGCTACGGCGAGTAAGAGAGCTTTTGTTCCCCAAAATCCAATTGCATAACCGTCACAAACAACTTTAATCGATCTAGGGAATCCATGAAGCAATGGTGACAAAAAGAATAACTTGTAAATCTTTTCATTTTCCCATTCGATCCGATCCTCATCATTCGTCGTTGTGCGTGGCCATTTCATAGCAGATAAGAATTATTCTCTCTGCACCTGATTCTCAATAACTTCCCGCAGTTGTGGGTAGAGTACGATTTACCCCATATTCATGGGCGTTCTTTTTCCTGCTACTGTTATGCATTTCCTTACCAAAACATACTCATTGAGGGTTGCAGACACGTAGGCGGTTCATAAAAGCCATTACCACCCGTCACTGCTCAGTACTACGGTCTAATAGTATTCTTCTTCACTTGTAAGTAAGAAGTCTTAAGTTGATTTTCACTAAAGACAAATTGTTTTAGATTGTTGGATCAATATTAAAAAATATGAAAAATAACAATATAATTCCAAACATAATAATCATAAAGAAATTCACAAGATCAATTATATATGAGATTAATATAAACAACTAGAGAGAGTTGGAAAAACTGACAAACTTGGAGGGTGAGGCTTGCATAAATGTAATGTCCTAAAGACATAATTTCGCCCCTACTCTTGTGCTTGTAGTTTTGTAGGCGTCCGTCTCCCAGGATTTAACAATCTATAATCCAAAGTTAAAGCACTTCAATCTTCGGACTCTGGCAAACTTCATATATTCCGTACTCTCAAGACACAATTTATTATAATATGAAACATTGTAATATATAATTTTAATAATTGAATGAAAAATATTGTTAACCAATTTCTTAGAAAGGTTATGTTGTTTAGGTGTATTTCCTTGATAAGTGATGTATACTTATAAATGAAAAGTTACATCTCTTTAATAAGTAGAAATTGGATTCTATATACACCCATGAAACCATTGGTATTATATATAGAAAATTAGAGTTAATTTTTCCTCTTGAGAAATAGGGTTTTCCCACTTTGTTTCTCTCATGCTTTGTGAGTCAAATTCCGAGTCGTGTCTTGAGAGTACGGTATATATAAAGTTCGGCAGAGTCCGAAGATTGAAGTGCTTTGACTTCGAATTATAGATTGTTGAATCCTGGAAGATGGACGCCTACTGAACTACAAGCACAAGAGTAGGAGCGAAATTCTATCTTTAGGACATTGCATTTATGCAAGCCTCAATCTCCAAGTTTGTCAATTATTCTAACTTTCTCTCTAGTTGTTTATATTAATCTCATATATAATTGATGTTGTGAATTTCTTTATGATTATTATCATTGAAATTATATTGTTATTTTTCATATTTTCTAATATTACTCCAACAATCTAAAGATAGAAACTTATTTGGAGTAATTAGAAAAATATGTGATTGTAAGATGTATATGCAGTTTACGGAAAAAGCAAGAGGGAATGTAAGAATGGTGTGATTTTAAAATCTGGCAGCTATTAAGGCAATAAGTCAGTACCTTTTGGTAAAGAAAGACTGAGAGACACAAATGAATGGCGTGTCTGTTTAATACTTGTGTTTCATATACACAATCATGTTTGTAACTCTGATTTGAGGTTTTATGATTATATGTTTTGACTTGATTGAATTAGCACATATATAGAATGATGAGCACTTCCTGATAAATGAGTAACATGTGAAGGCAACTACAAAAATGAGTCTTGCTCATAAGCCATGTTAGTCATGGATAAAATCAAAGCCAATTCCTTGCAAGGAATTACACACTAAAAGTGTGGGGGTCCTAGTAAAAGGAATGATGAGAGTAAGCATACAAAATTAAATTAGACATGATGATGCTTTTTAAGTAAGCATATGAATGGTCATGCATGTTAGTCATAATAAGGAAATGATGGAAGCCAAGAAGTGCTTTTCCGATAATGGCTAGTGAGGCATGAAGGCCTATGAAGATAGATACATAAGGTCTATCTTAATTGTTTCCTACTTTTTAAAGAACAAAACATGTTCGATTTAACAATAACGTTAGAAATTAACCACAATTATCGAAGAATTGTGGGGGTAGCTTATCTATTTTTGAGATATGAGATTTACTTACAAAGAATGGAAACGTAATTTGCTAATTGGATGAAACAATCAAAATGTCATCTCTTGTAATGAGTAATTGTTTAAGGTATGGTAAGGTTATAGACCTTCTATAGATACCTTAAATGTGGGGGAAGTCTACTTCCTAGTGTTAGCAAATGGATTGTGCATACCATTAAAAATAGTCAACCTAGTAGTGGATCCAATTATTAAAGGTTAGACTAGAGAGTAAGTTGATCATCGAGGGGAATGAGGCTAAAGCCAACATAACTAATGAATTAGCCGAGCGGAAACCTAACTTAGTTGATTGGAGATCCCATGGTCTAAGTTCAATAGGCAAATTGGTTAGGCATGATTCAAAGAAGTTAACACACTATATACCTCATTCCTATGGTGGAAGAAGTGTGTTATCTGCAGAAGTTTTAGGATGTATATTTATACTTAGACAGTGATATCTTATAAATAAAAGGAATATAGCATACTATTCTTAATCAGTGGTCACCTATGTGAGAGTAGAAGTTGGTCGCTTCTATGAGTATGAGATGGCTAAATTCTCTAAAGCTCTCATGAATCCGGGATTTGTTCAGGACCAAAATGAACAAAAC